AATTTCACGTAAAAGAATTAAGTAGAGGAAAAAATTACCAGTTGTATATTTTCCAATGAATATATATATATATATATATATGTATGTATAAATGATGATCATCAAAAGATATCTTCTTTACCCCTAAAAATGGTGTCAAATAATTTGTATAAATTAATCAAACTAAAGACTTGTAGTACTTAATCAGGCCGTTAACATTATTAATAAAAAAGTGCCACACACAGTTTCAGGCTTATATAATATCAACTAATTGAACTTTTTCAAAGCCATTCAATATCAAATAAAAATGAAGAGAGACAGGTATGTATATATATAAGTACTGACATCATTAATTAATTAAAGACAAAATTAGCAAGAGAATTTATGCGATGATCAGAAGTGGAGTTGTACTCGTAATTGGTGATTAGTCATGCATCATGATCTTCTTACTTACTCGATATGTTGGGATGATGATCATCAGACGGCTTGTCTTTCTTCTTCCACTTGTCAATTTCTCTCAACAACAATCCTTTGCTCTCTTCCTCCCCGTGACTGTTCTTGTCGCTGTCACTACCACCACCATGACCAACGACCACAAACTTTCCTTTCTTTTTGATTTTGTACCTTAAGTTCAAGCACATCTTTTTCTGTAACTTGAAATTTTGGTGAATATGCATCAGAAGAAATGAATAGGTTCAAATTGAACTATTTTATAGAATCATTAGTTTTTTAATCCTTTTTTATCTAATTAATTAGTTACTCCTTTGTGTTTTATGGTATATATACACCGTACATTTAGTAATTGAAAAATGAATTAATTCATTGTTTAAATCTTCCTTGATTGAAACGGCGATGAATACAATGAAAATCTTGAATTGCTCCTGGAATAAGTTAAGCTGCTAGCTTGCGAAATACAAGCAATAGAGAGGATCAAATAATAATTTAAAATTTAATTAGTGCTCAAATTCAGGATTTATAGATGCAACTAGGGTTGCCCTGATTAACCCTTAATTCCAACTAGGGTTGTCTCAACTTGAATTCTTTGCCACTTTAATACATATATACATACATATATATATATATATATATATACACACAACATACAATGTTGTTGGGTGATTTTCTTTCTTCTTTTTTCTTTTTTTTTTTTGTATTATATATATATACTGGGCTTTAATAGCTATGAAAGTCCATGGAAATGATGGAAGGCCGAATAAATAAATTAATGGGAATTGCCATGCAGAGGCCCTATGACTTTAGGCTCATTTAACTCTCTGGGTTCCTGCATGGCATTAGACTACTTATCACTTAAAAAGTAATGGATGTGTAGGTGCATTTAATACTTCATGAATTCTGGAGTGTTTTCATGAAGAATCACTATATATATATATATATATATATATTTTATTGTATTGATATGATACAGAATTTATGCATATATACAGGAAACAAATTGAGTTGACAGGGAAACAATACATGCATTTACGATTGAAACAGTTAATAATAACACATATTCACAAAATATTAGAATATTTGTATAATATTCATAGAATATTAGAATATTTGTAAAATATTCATAGAATATTTTCCAATAACAATATTCAAATCAGTATTAATTAATCAACTAATGTACATTAGGGGATGCTAATCTTATAAGAGGCAATTTCTAACGACTTATATTTGGGCAGCTTTAGCTACAACTATATTTGTGTTTTGCTTGAAATGATTGTTAGGGATGTTACTCTCATATCAATCAAACTTAAAAGTTTGTGCATCATATACTTATTTCAAACATCAAAATACTTATAGATTTTTAGACCAACTCTACCCAAATAATGATATGATTTCCATTATAATCTAACCATATGTACCAAGCTTATGCTTGTAAACATAACGCAAACAATTTATATTATTTTCAGTGACAAATCGAAATTAAAAAGAAAATAACATACTTTATAAGGGAAAAGAAAAATATGTACGAATAATTATTAATCTATTCAATATTCAAACATGAAATGTTTCTCAAATATTTAAAAATAATAACATAATAAAAATAAGAATATTGTATAAATAAATGAATTAAACATATTCTCTTTAAGTATCATACATTATTTTTCTTTTTCATTCGAATATAAGATTGTCGTTTCAATTCAAGTAGTTGTTTTTCCCAATTCTCTCTAGAAAATTTTGATATTTTCTCCTCCCTATGAATCTTTTGAAACTGATGCATGGAATTAATCAATCCCAACTCAAAATCATACATTCTTCTCGACACAGGATCTGATAATATCTCATAAGCCTCTTGAACCTCAATGAAGCGTTTTGTAAAGTATTCTATGGAAGAATTATGAAGACAGACATCAGGATGGTATTGAAGAACCATGCTCCTATATGCTTTCTTTATCTCCTGAACACTCACATTATTAGATTTCAGAGACAAAACTTGATAAAAGTTTTTACCACTCCTTAATGGCTTCGCCAACTTGCAATAATAATTTGTTGATGATGATTTATATGTTGTCATAATTCCTTGCATAACTCTGATTTTATATGGCGTTTGTATTGGCACTTCGTAATTTGCTCTCATCATACGATTCATTTGCATGGACATCTTCGTTACTGCAGAACTAGAAAGAATGAGAAAAAAATGAAGGGAACGATAATATTATAGCTTGAAAGATTTATACATATATATATATATGTTCTTTAGGTAATTGTATAAATTAAATTTTAAAAAGTCTGATTAAGGTGGTAATTGTAGGTTATATTTAAATATTAAGATACGATGGGTTACAGAATTGAATGTAATTTTGGCACCATTTGGATGTATTTTTTTCATCTTTTGGATTAGAAATTTAGTTTTCTAATTCAACTTGTACATTGTAATTAAGAGATTGTATGTCTGGCTTTGCCGGCCACTCTTTTTTTTTTTTTTTTAAATAACCCGTTCTCTCTAATTAGCTCTTAACCATGATGTTCTCTCTAATTTTCCATCGGCTCCTAAGAACTATCATGAATAGACAAATATCCCAATAATTAATTTATAATTAACTATAAAGTCTCTATTATAATATCTATAATTATACAGCTAAACATACATTGTATTATTCCAAATTGTAGAGGAAGTCAAAGTTGGATCAACCTTAAAAACGTGTTTTTAATATTTTAATTAGTAGTTGGCCCGTCATTAAAGGACAAAATTAACTAGGATTATAGAAGTACACTAACAAATTAAATTGCTTGGCCCCTTATTTATGTACGTATCTATTACTTCAACATATGTGGTGGGGGGGTGTGCGCGTTTAAGATAGATGGAGAGATACTGATAATTTCAATTTTATTTTAAAAATATCTGGAGCTGAATTTAGTTTGAGTAGATTTTATTTATTTATAGATCAAAGTATTTAATGTATAGAATTAATTACAATTTATATATACATGTCATATTCAATTAAACTTTATAATATAGTTTATGTCTTGAACTCAATTTTTAGTTATCTATTTATATGATCACCTGCCAATGAATAAATCACAACAATACTAGAGTTTTACGTAATATTAATTTTAAATTAAAGCATCATTTAATTTCATTCAAAATTTTTATTTTTTTTTAGTATAAAAAAAGTTATATTTTTGCCCATGTTATAACTACC